ACCACAAGAAATACAAGCAGAAAAGAATACCTTAATCAAGGAACTACCACAGGAAAAAAATAGAACGAAACCAAACCCACACCCCCACCAACACTGGCAGGGCATGCCACAATACAGAAACAGAATATAGAGGTCTTTATAAAAGCAAAAATCTTGCAGTGAAAGACAAATCAGAATCTTCTTTCTCTGGACAGCAGCCTCTTCTTTCGTTGGCCAAAGACATTGAAGGGGGAGGGAGGGGAGGGGACCCCCTCCCCTTTACAAATAGGAGAATGGCTGCACACACTGCATGAGCCTCCTTTTAATGAAACTGATGCCCCACCCCCCCAACACCCCTTTTCTGTTCTGTTCCCAAATGATGCCAGTTCTTTGCTAATAATTTAGGGAAGATTCTTTAAGCCCGTGTTGTTTTTGAAAGACCAGCTAGTCAAACAGAATAATTTTCCTCCTGCGTGTTCTCAGCATGGGGTTATTTAGAAATTACTACTCCTATTCATCAAGATACTATTTAGACATCATTCACTTTTGGTAGACTAATGCACTGAAGATTTCTGTATTTTTTTTACAGAAACAAGACACTGAGCAGCATGGGGTAGTTAACTACTAGATTTCTGAGCTGATCTGAGCATGCATTTCCATATCCAGGAGAAATCAGTGGGAATCCATTTGCATGATTCCATGAGGAGCCTGCAAACTGTGAATCCACCTAACATTCTGCCTCCTCCTGTTCAGTTTGTAGAGTATGGGGGTAACATTACTACTGTATCTTAGGTATTGTGACAAAGAGTATCATGCACCTTTTAAGTAACAGCGTATCCTCCTCTTTTTCATAGCTAGAGATGATGTTTCTGCTGTCAAAGACCTGATTCACAAGACCTTGTACTTTCCAAGGGAAGCAGCCAAATAGTCTCCGCACAGCTTCCAGTCAGAACGTCTTTCTGCAACCCAGGAGACTCCATCTGCAGAAGTCCCAGCGCTCTTGGAATGCCTTTGCAATGCTTATTAGAACGGACTCTCCTTGTTACATCCAACGCCATCTGTTCCCGTTCTGCCAGTGCAGAATCAGGAACAAGGAACTTGCAATAAAGTTTATTGCAAGCAGTGTCAATGACTCTAAAGAGATGGTGAAGTTTAATTACCCATTGCTCCCTCTTTTCTCAAAAGTCGAAAAGTGCACAGTTGAATAGGTAAATATATTGTTGGGATTAACCTTGCATTTCTCTCTGGTTTCTTCCCATTTATGTTAGTTATTGGCTTTCACGGAAAACTTCAATAAAGATAGCCTTTTTTTAAGGTCAAGGAAAAATCCATGATAGAGACCTCCTCATTCAATTTGTAATGTTCCCATTACTCAGATATGGCATCAAATATTGCTTACCGCACCAGAAGCCAGAGCCGCTTGGCACCCAGGGAGGCCCTGTGCATGTGCATGGGAGAATGGAACAGGAAGGCGTTCCAGCAGCTGGACTGGGGCTCTGGCGCTATTGGATCTGCCATGGAGGGACTCTTGGAGTTCCTAATCTGTGCTGATGACCAAATGTGGCTCTGGGATGAGGGGTTAGAATGGTGAACATCCGCCCTGGTGAGCCATTTTGTCCTAGGTTCAGAACAGACTGAGGCCATTTTGAGCCAATTGATCTGAGAGTTATTTTTTCCTAAATTACAGTTGGCTTTCTTTAAAAAAAAAGCCAAGTGGTAGTCAGTTGATCCAGCACACACTGGTCCTACCCATTACCGGTGGCTGTGACTTATTGAAGAAAGAGCCCTCTTCCCCAGCATGTGTAAGAAGATAAAGAGAAGAAACAGAAGCCAATAAGAAGGGAAGCAATGTAAGCCAAAGTCATGATGGTAAGTAAAGTTCAGATCACTGCTGAAGCATAGCACAGCCTTCGCTCCTCTCCAGTCCTGAGAA